CCCAAAAGAGCTTTCAGATCATCTGCGGAGTTCTGAAGTCATCAACTAGTGGCAAAAATCAGCTCACTGCAACAACAGGAAAGACATTCTTTTGCTTTTCAAAGGCTTTCCCATCAGCTGGAGCCAAAAATACTATCTTCTGACCCAAAAAACCACTGGTAAACCTTGTTTCTATGGTCCTGCCCCAAGCAAAAGGGCAAGAGAGCATGACTGCTCCCAGGTCCATCGCCTCTGCCCCATCGCCGCCTCCTGCCACCTGCTCTCCCAGGTTCCTCCCTACGGTCCTCAGGCTGGCGGCCCCCACTCCCCACAGGCTCCCTCCCTCCCTAGCATCTCCTTGTCCCCAAATTAAAGCCCATTCCTTGCCCACCCGCACCCCCCAAATTCCAAATTCCAGGCCTCCATGCAGCACGCTGTGGGCACTCCTTTCCACTTAGTTCAGAGCGGGGGGGGGGGGGGGGGCGCGTGAGGGAAAGCTGCCCCCCAGGAGGAAGCTGGCGGCCGGAACCCAGTGTAACTGGGGCCTTGGCTGCCCTGGTATCGCCACACAAATTACATCAACACTGTATCTGTTGCTACTGAGTCACTGGAATGCTTAAAAAAGAAAGGCAGAACAGTGAGCTTCAGTTACGAAGACAATTCACTTGCAAGAGCCCCATTCCCTCAACTGCAAGATGAATTAAAATGAGATGGGATGTATGATATTTATATTTTAAAAGATGAGGCTGTTATCCCGAACTAACCTCTCAGTGCAGGGGGGGGGGGGCGGCAGGGCAGCACATTTTTGAGCCCTTTTTGTCAAGTGCCTGCCCCAGATAATCTGTGCCACAAGAACTTCGTGGAGAACAGCGAAGGCCGCCTTTTCTCAGGCTCGCTGCTCTGACCCAGGCCTCGGAGAGTCAAGAACACAAGAGGTGAGCAGTTTCCCAGGGCTCCACGCGGCCACACACCTCTGACCACATCTCAGCCAATACAACCGCCACATTCATCACCACCTTCCCTTGGGACGCTTAGCGGACTTCAGCAGCGGCCAGCGACAATGGAAGTGTTTGTTATTTATAACTCCCAATAGCAGGCACGTCTGTGAGGCGAGCGTCCTTGAGCACAGAGGGTACGTTTTTAAAGTGTGATACAACCATGGGTGGAAGAACTCCAATCGAGACCGCCTTCTCACAATACCAGAATAAGTGACGAGCAGAACGCCCCGCAGCAGGCGCCTGGCCATGCTCACTGAGGTTCCCGCTCCTCACTGAGGAGCCCTTGCCAGCTGCTCCTCCTGCCCTCCCTGTCCCCTGAACCCTGCAGAGCCTCAGGCCCTACCCTCTGCCCTCTTCTCACCTGGCCCCGTTCTCTCCCTACCGTGGGTTCAGTGACCTCTGACTCACTCCGAATGCTGCCCAGCACTCCGCCCAGTTTCTCCACCTGCTGCAGACCTATCAAGCCACCTGCTTCCTTTTTTTAAAGTTTTGTTTTTTTCCTTTTATTGGAAAGGCTGAGTGATACACAGCAAGAATCAGAGAGATCTTCCTGGTTCACTTCCCAAATGGCTACAATAGCCCGGATCAGGCTAGGCTGAAGCCAGGAACTAGGAACGCCATTCGGGTATCCCATCCCATGTAGGTGGCAGGGACCCAAGTATGTCACCCATCTCCTGTTGCTTCCTAGTCGCGTTAGCAGGAAGATGGATCAGAAATGCCCTCTCCCCTCAACTGCTTACTTGCTAGAAGCATGCAGCCATTAGACACCTGTTTAAAACTGAACTTGGGGGCAGACGTCATAGCATACAGGGTTAAGTCGCCATCTAGGAAGCCTGCATATCATATGGGAATGCCTTGGATGGAGTCGCACCTCCAATTCCAATCCAGTTTATTGCTGATGCACACCCTGGGAGGCAGCAAATGCTGGCTCAAGTACCTGGGTCCCTGCCATTCACTTGAGAGACCCAGATGGAGTTCCTGGATCCCAGCTTAAGCATGGTTCAGCTTCAGCTATTGTGGCCATTTGGGGAGTGAACCAGAGGATGGGAGGTATCTCTCTCTGTCACTCTGCCTTTCAAATAAGTAAAATAAACTTTAAAAACATAAATACAGCCGGTGCCGCAGCTCACTAGGCTAATCCTCCGCCTTGAGGCACTGGCACACCGGGTTCTAGTTCCGGTCGGGGCGCCGGATTCTGTCCCGGTTGCCCCTCTTCCAGGCCAGCTCTCTGCTGTGGCCCGGGAGTGCAGTGGAGGATGGCCCAAGTGCTTGGGCCCTGCACCCGATGGGAGACCAGGATAAGCACCTGGCTCCTGCCTTCGGATCAGCGCGGTGCGCCGGCCGCAGCGTGCCAGCTGTGGCAGCCATTGGAGGGTGAACCAACGGCAAAAGGAAGACCTTTCTCTCTGTCTCTCTCACTGTCCACTCTGCCTGTCAAAAAAAAAAAAAAAAAACAAAAAAAAAAACACATAAATACAACTGAACTCACTACAGGTGTTCGGCACAGCTTGAAATGCTTGCAACCCATATCTTAGTGCCTGGGTTTGAGTCCTGGCTCTACTTCCAAATCCAGCTTCCTACTAATGAGCACCCTGGCAGGCAGCAAGGGATAGCTCCAGCACTTGGCTCTCTGCCACCCACATGGCAAACCCAGACTGAGTTCCAGGCTGCTGGTTTTGGCCTCTCTCTCTCTCTCTCTGTCTCTCTTTCAAATACATAAAACTGAACTTGGCATGTTTCTTCCTCAGCCTAACCCTATGCTTGCTCCTTTTCCAAGTGCCCCACTGCCATCTGTCAATCCCCATCCTCTTCCTGGCTACACCAACTCCAGGTCATTGTGATCGTTAAGACTTGGATCTCCAGAATATACTGTATATCGTTAAGAAAAGAAAGGTGTAATTCTGTTTAGCAGTATTCTGCTTCTTATGCATCAAAGGGGGCTAGGAATACAAATGTATACACAGCATACATATACATACGTGTTTATGTTTTCAAAAAGAAACAAACCGGTGCTGTGAAGACGCTGCCTGCAGTGCCGGCATCCCATATGGGCGCCAGTTCGCGTCCCACATGCTCAGAAAAAGTTCCCGGCCTCTGGCTTCAGCCTGGCACAGCCCCGACTACTGTAGCCATTTGGGGAGTGAATCAGTGGATCTCTTTCTCTTTCTCTCTCTCTCCCTCCCTCCCTCTCTCTCCCTCTCTTTCTCTGTTACAATAATTGGGAAACAAGCTTTCAAACATAAGATAAAAAGATAAAAGGTATCAGTATAAAATCAAATAAATCGGGTGGCTTGTGGCATAAGCCACCATAAGGATGCCAGCTCAAGTCCCGGCTGCTCCACTTCCCATCCAGCTCCCTGCTAATGCTCCTGGGAAGGCAACAGAAGATGGCCCAAGTATCTGGGCCCCTGCACCCACATGGGGGACCCAGATGAAGCTCCTGGCTTCAGCCTGTCCCAGCCCTGACCACTGCAGCCATTTGGGAAGTGAACCAGCAGATAAAAGATTTCTGTCTCTCCTCTCTCTCTGTAACTCTGCCCTTCAAATAAAATAAATAAATCTTTTTAAAAAATAAGTAAAAACATTATAATCTTAAATTTGAAATACCAGAACAAACTCACAACTTTTCTTTTTATTTGAAATGCAGAGTGACAGAGGGAGGGATTGAGAGAGAGCAAGGGATCTTTTATTCACTGGTGCTAGCAGTGTGCACGCCCCCAAATGACCACAAAAGTGGGGGCGGTGCCAGGCCAGAGCCAGGAGCCTGGAACTCCACTCGGGTCTTGTGTGTGGATGGCAGGGGCCCGAACACTTGGGTCATCTTCCACTGTCTTCCCAAGTGGATCAGCTGGGAGCTGGTCAGAAGCAGAACAGCCAGGACTCTAATAGGTGCTCTCATACGGGATGCTGGCATCACTAGCTGCAGCTTAACCCACTGCACCACAACTCTGGCCCCACAACTTTTTTTTTTCTTTTCTTTTCCAGATGTATTTATTTGAAAGGCAGAGTCATAGAGAGGCAGAGGGAGAGAGATTTTCCATCTTCCACAACAGCTGGAGTTAGGCTGATCCAAAGCTGGGAGCCAGGTGCTTCTTCTGGGTCTCCCATGTGGGTGCAGAGGCCCAGGCACTCAGACCATCTTCTACTGCTTTCTCAGGCCATAGCAAAGAGCTGGATCAGAAGTGGAGCACCCAGGTCTCTAACCAGTGCCCACATGGGATGCCGTCACTGTGGGCGGCAGCTTTACCCGGTACACCACAGCACTTATCCCACTTTTTCTTTCCTTAAAAAAATATTTAGGAGAGGGTATTGTGGCACAGCAGATTAAGCTACCACTTACGATGCCAGTACTCCATAAAAGACTGCCAAGAGCTGGTTTGAGTCCCACTGCTCCACTTCTGATTTATCTCCCTGCTAATAAACCTGGGAAGGCAACAGAAGATGGCCCCACCGCCCGCACCCTTGCCACCCATGTAGGAGAAAAGGAAGAAGTTCTTGGCTCCTGGCTTTGGCCTGGCCCAGCTCCAGCCAGTGTGGCCATTTGGGGAGCAAACCAATAGATGAAAGATCTCTTTCTGTTACTCTGCCTTTCAAATAAATAAGTAAATCTTAAAAACAAAAAACAAAAACAAGACCACAACACTGTCTCCCCTGGGCAGCAGGGAGCAGACAGCACTGCCCCTGCCTAGGTGAGATCAGGTGCTGTGCTTGGTGTCCACCCTCACTGCACCCTGCACTTCTGAGGGATAATTCTGAATGTACTGACATCTGCCCTCCCCTCAAGGTCTAGAAACCCCTTGAAGGTGAATACTCCATCCTTCGGCAGTTCCAACATGTGGCAATCGATCCAGGCACCAGTAAAGTATCAGTCGCACAGTTCAGTCCACCAGGTGAGACTTCAGGGCCCAGGAAATCACAGAAGCCCAGCCCGGGCCCTGCAGATCTCGGCTGCGGCAGAATCTATTTTCACACCCAGAACCCAGCTGGGCATTCATAGGAGCAAAGGGCCACAGGAGGACTCACCGCCTCTGAGGACTTGGGAATGGGTACAATGATGGCCAGCACACAGATGAGCTGGAAGATGGCCCCCAGGAAGAGTCCGTACCGCAGCAGGTTCTCCAGGAAAGTGGGCTCAGGCACTTCAGGAGGTGAGAAGTCAAGGTCAGAGGCCATGGTCCAAGCAGCTTGCCCCTTGAGGTCTTCTCTGACTCACCAGTCTCCACTGCCAACTTCTAAATGCAAAGGGTAAATGTCATATTTCTACAACTGACTTAAATCATCTTGTTCATACAAATGCACCCAGGGCCAGGCAGCCACGTGGAACGTTAACAGTTCTTCCACCTAAGGAGAGGATACACAGATAGCCACTGAACCATTCTTTCAACTTTTTCTATGCTTTAAATTTTCCAAATATAAAGACAAAAGGTAAATGCAAAAGGAAATACTTCAACAAAAATCTCAAAACTATATACATTTACTGAAGGCCTGTTGTATTCCACGTTTGATTTATTTACTTATCTAATCATTCTTTCAGCAAATTATTAAACGTCAAGCACTGAAGAGTAAGCAAAACAGACAAATCTTTGCATTCTTGGGGACTACATGCACAGAACAGACAGACAATGAATACACTAAAACATGCCAGGCGGTGATACTGTTTAGGAAAAAAAATCTTAAGTAGCAGAGCCAGCGTTGTGGCGCAGCAGGTTAAACCACTGCCTACAATACTTCCCATATGAGCTGCTCCACTTCTGATCCAGCTCCCTGCTACTGGCCTGGGAAAGCAGCAGAAGATGGCCCAAGTCCTTGGGCCCCTGCACCCATATGGGAGACCCTGATAAAACTCCTGGCTTCAGTATGGTCCAGCCCTAGCAATGAACCAGCAGATGGATGACCTTTCTCTCTGCCTCTGCCTCTCTATAACTCTGCTTTCAAATAAATAAATAAATCCTTTAAAAAAAAAAAAAAGCCATGTGGTGGTAGGGTGCAGGCACTGTGGCACAGTGGGTTAAGCTGCTGCTTGTGATGCCGACATCCCATGTCAGCATGCCAATCTTGTCCTGGCTACTCTGCTTCTGATACAGCTCCCTGCTAATGTGCCTGGGAAGACAGCAGAAGATGACCCAAGTTCTTGGGCCCCTGCCACCCATGTGGGAGACCAGCATGAAGTTCCTGGCTTCAGCCTGGCCCAAACCTGGCTGTTGCAGGCACTTGGGGAATGAAAGGACAAATGGAGGATCTGTTTCTCTCACTCTTTCAAATAAATAAATCTTTTTAAAAAAAAAAAAAGAAGAAGAAGAAGAAAATATAGGAGATACCTCTACGACATTGGACTTGGCAATGATTTTTTGGCTATGATATCAAAAGTACAAAAACAACAAAAATAAATTGGACTTCACATCAAAATTAAAAGCTTTTGTATACACATACACCAGCACATTATCCAAGAGAGTGAAGACAACCTAGAGAATGGAAGCAGGTATTTATAAATTATATATCTGCTAAGGGTCAAGTATTCAAAATATATAAAGAACTTCTATAATGTAATAATGCAAAAAATTGAAAAATGGGTAGAGAGGTTGAATAGGTACTTCTCAAAAAAATATCCACAAATGGACAATAAGCACATGAAAAAACGCTCATGACCACTGGTCTGAGGCAATGCATCTGAAAACCACACAGACATCACCTCATGCCTATTAGGACGATCATTACTGAAAACAACAAAGGAAAATAACAAGTGGTGGTGAGGACACGGAGAAATCAGAACTTCTATGCCCTGCTAGCGCAAATGTGAAATGATGCAACTTGTGGGAAAGTCTGATGACCCCTCAAAAAGTTAAAAACAGAATTATCCTAAGCTCTAGCCATTCTGCTCCTACCTAGGAAAGCAAGGACTCAAACCATTGTGCACAGCACCAGTTTTCATCACAGTCAAAAGACAGAGCCAAGAGTCCAGCAGATGAATGAACAAAATGTGGTGCATATACACATATACATGAGATTACCACTCAGCTTCTGAAGGAAGGAAATTCTGATACACGCCACAACATGGCTGAATGTGGACACCTTATGGAATGTGAATAAATGTAAGTGAAGCCAGACATATGAGCACAAATACTGTGTGGTGCCACTTATGTGAGGCATCTAAAAGAGGTAAACTTACAGAAGTAGGACAGAGGGGCAGCTGTGGCCCAGCAGATTAAACCCCACTTGGGATACCCATGTCCTGTATCAGAGTGCCCGGCATGGAGGCCTGCCTCCACTTCCCATCCAGCTTCTGCTGATGTGTCTGGGAGGCAGCAGATGATGGTAACGTAAGAGCTCCTGCCACCCACAAAGGAGACCCGGATGAAGCTCCTGGCTCCGGCCTGCCTGCTGTGTACATCTGGAGAGCCAAACAATGGACGGAAGATCTCCCTCTCTCTATCACCTTGCCTTTCAAAGAAATAAAACTCAAAGTAAAAAAGCCAAAAAAAAAAAAAGTTAACAGGGCCTAAGGGGGAGGAGAGCTGGGAGTTATTTTTTAATGATATAGAGTTTAATTTAGGAATCTAAAGAAGTCTGGAACTGGACAGTGCTGATGGCTCATAAGTAACACTATTTTACACTAAAAAATGGCTACAACGGTCAATCTTATGTTATATACTTTTTTTTTTTTTTTTGACAGGCAGAGTGGACAGTGAGAGAGAGAGACAGAGAGAAAGGTCTTCCTTTGCCGTTGGTTCACCCTCCAATGGCCGCCGCGGCCAGCACGCTGCGGCCGGCGCACCGCGCTGATCCGATGGCAGGAGCCAGGAGCCAGGTGCTTTTCCTGGTCTCCCATGGGGTGCAGGGCCCAAGCACTTGGGCCATCCTCCACTGCACTCCCTGGCCACAGCAGAGAGCTGGCCTGGAAGAGGGGCAACCGGGACAGAATCCGGTGCCCCAACCGGGACTAGAACCCGGTATGCCGGCGCCGCTAGGCGGAGGATTAGCCTAGTGAGCCACGGCGCCGGCCATGTTATATACTTTTAACACAATAAAATAATTTCACTGTTTCTTTTCATTTTTTTTTTCTTTTTTTCTTATGATTTCACTGGCTCATTTCCCAAAAAGCCTCAATGGCCAAGCTAGTCCACACCAAAGCCAGGAGCATGGAACTCTAGCCAGGTCTCCCACATGGGTGCAGGGGCCCAAGCACTTGGGTCATCTGCTGTTTCCCCAGGCACAAAGAAGAGAACTGGATGGGAAGTAGAGACAGGACTCAAACGGGTGCTCAGTTATGGAAGGCCAGCCTCACGGGCAGCAGCTTAGCCCACTGTGCCACAATACAGGCCCCTCTTTTCGCTTTATTATTATTTTCTAAAGACTTTTTATTTATTTGAAAGGCAGAATTAGAGAGAGAAAGAAAAGCCAAACAGAGATCTTCCAACCATTGATTCACTCCCCAAATGGCTGGAATGATCAGGGCTGGGCAGGCCAAAGCCAGGAGCCAGATGCGTGCAGGGGCCCAATGACTTGGGCCATCTTCCGTTACTTTCCCAGGTGCATTAGCAGGGAGCTGGATCAGAACTGAAGCAGGCAGGACTCAAACAAGCACCCATAAGGGATGCTGGCGCTGCAGGCTGTGGCCCTAACTGCTGCACCACAGCACCAGCCCCATCGTTTTGCTTTTTAGGTGTGGCTATCAGAATCTTCAGAATCACACACCTGGCCTGGAGTGCACATCTGGGGGCCGGCTGGCAGGAGAGGCCATCCTGAAGACTTCCTCTACCTCAGCTCTGTGGCTTCACACAGAGCTTGGCAACATGTTCCCAACCGTGACATGCCCAAATAAACACAGGCTTCCAGGGAAACAGAGAGGGACTTCCACAATGTGTGCTGTTTCCTTTTCAACCTGGGCCAGTAGGATGGCCACGCTTCGCTTTATTGTAACTGTCTACTTTGCAAACGCTCTGCAAAGCCTGAAGCCCAGATCTCTCAGAATTTTCAGAGCTGGCAGATCCTCATCCTCCCAGGATGGAGTTGACTTCTGGAAAGAAGCCAACACCATCTGGCTCCAAGCGTGGTGAATCAGGTGGGGCAGCCAGTTCAGGAATGCCATTTTTGGTCAAATACAAGGTACGACTCCAGGCGGACTGTTTGGAGTGGCTCATAAACTGGCCCTGGAGTGAATTCCAAGGCAGCTGTAGGAACATGCTCAGGGGAGCAATGCACGCACCGCACAGGGCAACCCCTGTGTGTACCAAGAGGGATGAAAGTGTCTCATTTCTTTAGCTACACCTCATCAAGTCAAGTGTCCTTGGCCCCAGGCTTTATGCTTAAGACTGTAACAAGCCTACTGGGCTTATCATACTCAGATGCACTCATGCTGCCAACAGCAATACCTAGAATACTTAGTGCTACAAGAGAAAGTCAGGGCCAGGAGGCAGGAAGCAGCGAGCACAGAGCCGACTACCACCACTCAGCTGCACTCCGGGCTAATCTCTTGACCCCTCGCGCACTGCATGTTCTCAGCAGCCAAGCAACAACAATATCTATTCAAAGCTATAACACACTCAAGTTTTTTCTTTTAATGGCAATTAGGCAATATATAACACCAGTCATAAAAGCAATTATATCCTTTGATTGAATCAGTTACTTCCTAGAATTTATAGTAAGGAAACAATCCAAAAGAAAAAGCGTCTGGGTACAAAGAAGTTCATGGCAGTGCTATTCATAATATTGGAAAAACAGGAAGCAACTACAGTGTCCAACAATAAGCAAGCAGTTAACCCTGCAACAGTACGTACGCCACAGTAGAATCCCCTTCACTAAATGGCAATGTAATCGGTACACCTACGTTGTGCTATCAGGTCAGCAGCAAGCTTTTGCAAAATTATATTAATTTTAAAAAGTAAACAGCCATATAAATACTGTGATTACAACCATGTATAAACTGATTTCATTGGCTAATAGTTAAAAGAGGCCATAAGAAAATATCAGTAGCCGGCGCCACAGCTCACTTGGCTAATCCTCTGCCTGCGGCGCTGGCACACCAGGTTCTAGTCCCGGTTGGGGCGCCAGATTCTGTTCCAATTGCTCCTCTTCCAGTCCAGCTCTCTGCTGTGGCCCGGGAAGGCAGTGGAGGATGTCCCAAGTGCTTGGGCCCTGCACCCACATGGGAGACCAGAAGGAAGCACCTGGCTCCTGGCTTCAGATCAGCGCAGCTCTGGCTGTTACAGCCAATTGGGGAGCGAGCCAGCAGATGGAAGACCTCTCTCTCTCTCTCTCTCTCTCTCTCTCTCTCTCTCTCTGCCTCTCCTCTCTCTGTGTAACTCTTTCAAATAAATAAATAAAATCTTTTAAAAAAAAAATCAGTAGGGGCAGGCATTCTAGTGCAACTGGTAAATGTTGTCATCCCATGAGGTCGCCAGTTCATGTCCCAGCTGCTCTACTTCCAATCCAGTTCCCTTATAATGGCCTGGGAAAAGCAGTGGAAGATGGCCCAAGTGCCTGGGGCCACGACACCCACATGGGAGACCGGGATGAAGCTCCTGGCTCCGTGCTTCAGCCTGGCCCAGCCCAAGCCATTGCAGCCATCTGGGAAGGGAACCAGTGGATGGAAGATCTCTCTTTGTGTCTCCCTCTCTCTCTCTCTCTCTGTAATTCTGCCTTTCAAATGAATAAATAAATCTTTATTTTAAAAAAAGATTTATTTTATTTATTATTCAGAGTTACAGAGAGACAGGGAGAGAGAGAGATCTTCTATCCTCTGGTTCCCTCCCCACATGGCTGCAATGGCCAAGGCTGGGTCAGGCCGAAGCCAGAAGCCCAGAGATTCTTCTGGGTCTCCCACGTGGGTGCAGGGGCCCAAGCACTTGGGCCATCTTCCATTGCTTTCCCAGGCGCATTAGCAGGAAATTGGAACAGAAGTGGAACAGCCAGGACTCCAACCGGCACCCATACGAGATGCCAATGCCACAAGCGGTAGCTTTACCCTCTACTATACAGTGCTAGCTCCAAAATAAATTTTTTAAAATATTTATTTACTTATTTGAAAGGCAGGGTTACAGAGAGGCAGAGGCGAAAAGTCTTCCATCTTCTGGTTCACTCCCCAAATGGTTGCAATGGCCAGAGCCAGGCTGATCCAAAGCCAGGAGCCAGGAGCTTCTTCCAGGTCTCCTATGCGGGTACAGGGGCCCAAGGACTTGGGTCATCTTCCACTGCTTTCCCAGGACATAGCAGGAAGCTGGATTAGAAATGGAGCAGCCAAATCCTCCGCCTAGCGGCGCCAGCACACAGGGTTCTAGTCCCGGTTGGGGCGCCAGATTCTGTCCCTGTTGCCCCTCTTCCAGGCCAGCTCTCTGCTGTGGCCAGGGAGTGCAGTGGAGGATGGCCCAGGTGCTTGGGCCCTGCACCCCATGGGAGACCAGGAAAAGCACCTGGCTCCTGGCTCCTGCCATCGGATCAGCGCGGTGCGCCGGCCGCAGCGCGCCGGCTGCGGCGGCCATTGGAGGGTGAACAATGGCAAAGGAAGACCTTTCTCTCTGTCTCTCTCTCTCACTGTCCACTCTGCCTGTCAAAAAAAAAAAAAAAAAAAAGAAAAGAAAAGAAAAGAAAAGAAAAAAGAAATGGAGCAGCCAGGACTTGAACCAGCTCCCATATGGGATGCTGGCACTGCAGGCTCGGCTTTACCCACCACGCCACAGCACTGGCTCTCCCAAAATAAATATTAAAAGAAGAAGAAGAAAATATCAACAGCTTGTTCGACCGGTGCCTATGGCGCCGTTATCTCATACAGGCACGGATTCAAGTCCCAGCTGCTCCACTTCTGATCCAGTCAGGGAAAGCAACAGGGAATGGCCCAAGTCCTTGGGCCCCTGCACCCACGTGGGAGACCTGGAAGAAGCTCCTGGCTCCTGGCTTCAGTTTGGCCCAGCTCCAGCCATTATGGCCATTTGAGATCTCTCTCTCTCTCTCTCTCTCTCTCTCTCTCTCTCTCTGCCTTTCCTTCTCTGTAACTCTGAAATTCAAATATACTTATTCACATTTCTTGTAACCAAGTGCGTGAGCCCCTGTACCTGCATAGGATCAGCCCAGCTCCAGCCGTTGAGGCCATCTGGGGAATGAGCCAGTGGATGGAAGACCTACCTCCCTACCTCTCTCTCTCTGCCTCTGCATAACTCTTTCAAATAAATAAATAAATCTTTAAAAACAAAACAAACAAAAAAAAACCCACCACACTGCAGCTAACAGTAACTTAACAATACTGGTTTGTTCATTGTGATAAACGTACCACACCAATGTAAAGTGTTAATAACAAGGGAACCCAGGTGTGGGGTAAGAGAATTCACTGCAGTATCTTCACAATCACTTTTTTTAAAAAGATTTATTTATTTATTTGAAAGTCAGAGTTACACAGAGAGAAGGAGAGGCAGAGAGGTCTTCTATCCGCTGGTTCACTCCCCAGATGGCCGCAACGGCCAGAGCTGCACCGATCCCAAGCCAGGAGCCAGGAGCTTTTTCATGGTCTCCCAGGCAGATGCAGGGGCCCAAGCATTCAGGCTACCTTCTACTGCTTTCCCAGGCCATAGAAGAGAGCTGGATTGGAAATGGAGCAGCTGGGTCTTGAACTGACGCCCATACGGGATGCCGGCACTGCAGGCAGCAGCTTTACCCACTATGCCACAACGCCAGCCCCTAAAGTTTAATGTAGAGGCAGGCATTCGGCCTTGCGGTTAACATATCCACATCCCATATCAGAATACGTGGGTTTGATGCCCAGCTCCAGCTTCTGACTCCAAGGCCATCTCCCAGGAGTGACACGTGAACGCCACCACGTGGGACTCCAGGATCGTGTTCCCAGCTCCTGGTTTCAGCCCTGGTTAGCTGCATGCATTCGGGGAGTGAACCAGAAGACCCAGCCTCTCCAGGAACTGGTAATATTTTTCAGTCCAAACCTTTCCTCCATCTGTGTAGCTGTCTGTCACTTGCATAAATGGTTTGGTGCCACTCGTTGCAGGGGGTCCTCGCTGAAGTCTTTGGACAGGCTCGGCGCTTTCTGGTTGCACCCACAAGCTCAATGCCGTTTCCACTTAACTAAGCACGTGGCACTCACTGTGCGGTAACTTTTGGGATTTGAGGGGCGGCAGTGCAACTGGCACCAGCCTCCTTTTCCTTCGTCACACTCTCCCAGACAAAACATTCGTTCTTACCGTAGATCTTAGCAACCTCGGCATTCGGCTTTTCTCCTTTCCTGATGAAGTTGAGAACCCTCACCTTTCCACTTACAGGAAGCACTTTTCGGCTCCCTTTTGGCACATGGGTTGCTAGCATCGCTGCTCCTGCGCTTGGGGCCATTACTAAGTAAACTACGGGTCAGCTGCGACACGGGGACAGGTGCTCTGATAACCAAGCAGCCCGCTGATCTCGCTGGAAACGGGGACGCTGAACGTCCCGCGCAGGACTGCAGGAGGCTTCCTCACTCTACTTAGAACGGTGCTCAGTGTACGACTCACTATTCTGGAACAGCCCATGCAAGGCTGTGCTGGCGCTGTGGACCGTAACACCGCGGATGAGGGGGAGGACTACCGTATTCACTGCTTAAAGAGGACACTTCCACCCCACGCACGCACGGTCCACCCACGGAGGGCTTCACGGTCACCATCTCCGTTAGTGCTCACATCGAGCCCCCGTGCCTGCTCGAGGGAGGAGGCCCAGACGAAATGTCATCCGGCCACGGTTACACAGCGACTCGGGCCCCGCTCAGGGTTCGAACCCCGGCCAGCCTGACCTGGGGCTCAGGCTCCTCCTATCGCTCCACCCGTGCGAGGAAAGTCCGGGACACGGCCGAGAGGAGCGCAGGCTTCCGGCCCGGGCTCTGCATTAAGGGGCTGAGCTTCCCTGGAACTCAAATTCCCCTCTGCAAGTAACTTTCCACCACGCGCCGCCGGAAGTGAATCCCGCTGCCCGCCGAGCGACGCCCAGCACGGCTGAGCAGCACCGCCAGGATCTGCAGGCCGCCGCGCCCGAGTCCTCCCCGGCTCCAGGTTCCGCCGCACCCCCAACCCCGCCCCGGCCGCAAAGAACCTGTCCCTCAGCCGCCCTGCGGCACTCACCTCCAGCGCCACCGAGCAGCTACCCCGGAAGCAGTTTCCCCAAGACCCGCCCCTAGCCCCGGAAGTGACGCGCCCTGAGGCTCGAGGCGCTCAGCTCCACCCCCGTCGGTTGGTGTGAGGCGTGCATGGCTGCTAAGCATTTAGAGAGCATGTGTAATTCTCCAGGCCCTGCGACCAGTTGAGCACGTTTATAGAAGCCGTAATTCTACGCCTGGCCCTGGCGTGGGAGCCTACAATGGCAGAGGGAAGACAAACGATACATCTTCTTGAGACAGAAACAAATCGTTATCTGCCTCGGGGGAGACCTGTGGGCGGGGGGACAGACGAGAACAATTTGGTGAACACGCCTCGGGACAAGCGGAAGGCGAAGGAACAGTTCTGTGGCAGGCGGTCGGGTCAGGACTGGGCTGAATCATAAGGGGATGAGTAACACAGGGGTTACAATGAAGAGGGGTGATCAGGGACGGCCTCTCGGAGGAGGAGGAAGAAGCATTTGCGGTGTGAAATGAAGAATGAAAAGGAATTGAGCAGGCAAGGAGAGAAGGGAAAGGGCTTGGTGGGGCGGAAAGGCTGGGTTGTGGGCAAGTGTTTGCAGCGTAGGAATAGCTGGGGGTGGGGAGAGGGCAGTGGCCCTAGCTGCTAGTTGAGACACTTGGGGGACTGGCGCTGTGGTATAGCAGGTAAAGCCGCCACCTGCAGTGCCTGCATCCCATATGGGTGCCAGTTCGAGTCCCAGCTGCTGCACTTCTGATCCAGCTCTCTGCTACAGCCTGGGAAAGCAGGGGAAGGTGGCCAAGTCCTCCATGTGGAGGCCTGAAAGAAGCTCCTGGCTTTGGATTGGCCCAGCTCTGGCAGTTGCGGCTATTTGGGGAGTGAACCAGTGGATGGAAGACCTCTCTCTCTCTCTCTCTCTCTCTGCCTCTGCCTCTGCCTCTCTGTAACTCTGCCTTTCAAATAAATAAATAAATCTTTTAAAAAAGAATGGATGAGGGAAACGGCCACTGCCTGCGTCGCTGGCATCCTGTATGGTACCAGTTTGGGTCCCAGCTGCTCCACTCCCAATCCCGCTCCCTGCTGACGTCCTGGGGAAAGAAGCGCAGGAGACCCAGATGACACTCCTGCTTCCTGGATTTGATCTGGCCCAGCCCTGGCCATTGTGACCCTTTGGGGAGTGAACCAGTGGATAGAAGATCCTCCCTATCTGTCCCTCCCTCTCTGTGGTGTGGGGAGCAACTCGGACTATACTGTTACTGGAATTAAGACTTATTCTATGCATCTGCTCTCCCACTGTGGGGAGCAACTCGGACTATATTGTTACTGGAATTAAGACTTATTCTATGCATCTGCTCTCCCACAATATGGCGCTGGGAGAGAAGAAAGAGGCTTCTACACAGCTGCCTCCAGTTCAACCAAGGAACTGTAGGACCTGCTCCTGATTGGAGGAGAGCGGCGTGCTCGGCGTATGGGCAGCCGAGTTGGGATTGGCGGAGGAGGACTATAAAGGAGGAGAGAGACGGCATGCACCAGGAACATCTAAGGGGAACATCTAGCTGAAGGAACACCTGTGCAGCCCCCGAGAGAGCCGGCCGGCGGTGTGCCGCTCCCCTGCGGAAGTGGGGAATGTGGCCAGGGGGAACTGCCCTTCCACGGAGGTGGAAGGGATAGTAGCCAACCCGGGAAGAACCAGCAGCAAACCCGGGGAGGGCCGAGCAGACGAAAGAACAGCGCAGGGTCCTGTGTTGCTCCTCCACGAAGAGGGGGAGTGACATAATGGTGCCGTGACTCGGATATGAAGCCTAGGCAGGGTTTAGTGTCGTTCCTCCACGAAGAGGGGGAGCGACACTCTGGAACTCTGACTTTCAAATAAACAAACAAATCTTTAAAAGAGAAGATGAAGGGGGAGAAGCGAAGGCCTCAAGGGAGCGGATATTTGGGGGGAGGGCTTGGCATTTCCCCGGAGGGGCCCACTGTGGTGTATGGATGGGGAGACCGTTCCGTGGTTTGAACTATGAGCCCCCTCCCCCCGAAAAACGACGTGGTGGAACCCTAACCCCCAGTAGCTCAGAGAGGGATATCCCTTGGGGACAGTCTCTTTACAAAGGTAATCGAAGTAAAACGAGGCCGGCAGAGTGGGCCCTAATCCGAGCTGCCCGAGAGCCTCTAAAGGCAGACTTGGACACGGATGCTCATGTAGGCAGAAACCGTGTGGAGCTGAAGGGAGACATTGAGATGATTCTTCTCTGTCGGAGAGGCACCAGGCTTCCCTGCCAGCCACAGGGGCTGGAGACGAGCGTGGAGCAGGAGGCACCAACAACACCCCGCCTCCCGAGCTCTGTGAAGATAAACACCTGCGGTGTAAGCCCCTCGCTTGTGCGACTTTGCTATGGCCGCGCTGGCACAGGATACACGTGAAAGCTGTAACTCTCCATACCCAGACGGAGAAGGCGCCAACGTGGATGCAGCCGTCACAGCTCCTTCCTCGCTTTTTTTTTTTTAATGATTTATTTATTTATTTAAAAGTCAATTACCAAGATGGACAGAAGAGAGAAAGACATAGAGCAAACAAACGCTTCCATCTGCTGGTCCATCCCTGGATGGCTGTAATGGCCAGGGCTGAGCCAAGCCAACACCAGGAGCCAAGAGTTTCTTCCAGGTCTCCCATGTGGGTGGCAGGAGACCAAGCACTTGGGCCATCTTCTAATGCTTTCCCAGGCGCATTAACAGGGAGCTGGGTTGGAAGTGGAGCAGCCAGAATACAAAGTGGTGCCCGTATGGGACGCTGGCATTGCAGGCGATGGCTTTACCCGCCATACTTCCAGCTGCGTTTTGCTCCTCTCTGTGCCCCTCAGGGCTGCGTTAGCGAGGGCCGCAGCACGGCGGAGAGCTCTGTGGCACGCTCGCTCCTCTGCGTAATGTCCACGTGAGCGCAGGCCTGCATGAGGGACGAGGAAGAGAGGCTCTGCTCTGCAAAGCAGTTTCCAAAGTCGCTGAACACGTAGCAGGGAGGCCGTGTTCTGAGTCTTCGCTGCAGCTGCCCTTCCTGCCACGGTCGCTACGTGTCAAGTACCTCGCACTTGTCAGTCCGCCCCCTCCAGCTGCCCCGTAAGGGAAGTTTGATTATCTCCACCACCGGCAGAGAAAGAAGCCCGGAGCTGGGAGAGTCAGTGGCTTCCCTGGGGCCGTGTGTGTGTGTGTGTGTGTGTGTGTGTGTGTGTGAGACCGTTGCACTCCCCAGCCAACCTGCGCCAGCCAGATGAGTGCAACAGGCATGCGTGCTCTGGGGCAGAGGGAAAGGAGCGGAAGGACCATCAAGGACTGAGGAATCTGCGAAGGCTTCCTGAAGGAGGTGATGTGATGTGGGTCCTGGATGCTGGGCTGGATTTGGCTGTGGAAAGAGGAGGGTGGAGACTAAGCCGCACTTTCCCAGCCCCTTCCCCTGGCCTGCGTGCTTCTCTTTCTGGGACACTTTCTCTGGCTCACCTCGGGACAGGCTCGTCCTCACACTTCAGGGCTCAGCCCAAAGATCACCTTCTCCCCAGAGGCCTCCCTGATGGCCCTTGGTGGCTGATGTTTTTTCCTAGAGGTGGCCACGGCAGTATTTCCCTTCCTGCTTTGAGCAATAAAACTACTGGGGGAGAGACGCTGGGGCAGTTTGGGGCATGGTACTTTCCTGGCCTGTGAGTCAGCCACCATGTAAAAAATGACAACCCTAAAGCCACCACGCTGGGAGAATCCCAAGCCATGGGGACAGAAAGCGACCCGGGAGCACCTGGCATCAGACCTGGCAGTAAAAACGCTGCTTAGGGGTGGGTGTTGGGGGGCAGCAGGCTAAGTCACCGCTTGGGACACTCGCATCCCTCCCCTGAGCACCTAGATGGAGTCTTGCTTCCACTTCTGATCCAGCTCCCTGCTAATACACACCCTGGGAGCAGCATGTGATGGCTCAAGTACTTGGGTCCCTGCCGCCTATGCTTCCTATGAGATTTCTCTTATATGAAAGGCAGAGAGCAACAGAAGGATCTTCCATCCCCTGGTTCACTTCTCAAATGCGCACAACAGCTAGGGCTGGACCAGGCTGATGCCAGGAGCCTGGCACCCCATCCAGGTTTCCCACATGGGTGGCAGGGGCTTGAGTACTCGGGCCATCCTCCACTGGCACGTCCTCCGAGGCACATCAACAGGAAGCTGGATCAGAAGCAGAGCCCTGGATCCCATGCTCTGGGATGGGGTGCCACTGTTGC